GAATCACTAGCTACGTGAGTATCTGTAATCCTTTATTAAAAGGCAGCAATATTCTTCCAGTGCAACTTGTTTGCTATTACTGATTACTTTTTCTGCAGGTAAAATGAGTTGGGTCCAAGAAAGATGTTTTCCCAGATTAAATTAAGAAGTGATTTGAAATGTTAAGAATGATTTCTAAGATAGCTCTGCATTGTACAGTGTGTAAAGATGAGTGCATTATGGTACCAAAGTGCCTATGAACACGCTTAACCATTTTACAGAAACCCTCTGGTTTGAAAATCTTGTGCGCGAGCATTCAACAAATGGCCTCAAGGGAAGCAGATTTTCAGCTATCATGAAGCTGAAAGCTACCAAAAGCCCATTATGACTCAAGCTAAATCAAACATTGACCCAATGACCCAATGAACATGACCGGAAATGTTGTGACGCTCATTTGAACTGGATGTGCCCCTTTTAGTATCGCATTAGTGTTACCCTTTTTTGATTGACATTTGAAATTGGAGTAGCTGACAAAGAGAGTAGTGAAAAATTACCTTTTGGTTGAGATCAGTCGTAAAGGAAAATGTATGAGCAGATAGTGATTGCAATAAAACGATGTATGATGTAAGTGAGTTATTTTGCGCCCAACAGGTTCGGTACACCAATATTGGCATCAAGAATTAAGCCAAATATTTTGTTTAAGAAATAAAGAATCTGAAAAAATATATTCAGAAACTGAGTATGGCAGTCATTCTGTTGGTCTTGCAGGCTTCAAGTGACAAAGAGAATCCCATCAATAAGCATTACTTTGTCCAAAGTTCCTTTAGATGCAACACAACCAGGGTAAGATAACCTTTTGGTCAAAGAGGCCCAGTGATAAATATGATCATAGAACTTGATATAGATCAAAAATGTTGCTCAAAAAGTGACTTCTCGGTCTATGAAACTTTAGCACGATTATCTTAACTTGATCATTAGTTTTATGTAGGCAAACTCTCCTCGAGTTGAATTCTTAAGAAAAATATCCAAGTTTAAAAAGAGCAAGAGAGATTCATCATCGTATGTTCACGTTGTCGATAAAACGTGAAATTAGGCAATTCTTGTCATAGTTGTGCATTGATGGCCAAGAAATGTACAAAAAAGGGTGATGCACATGCAGAGTTGTTGTTTTGCTAATCTAAACCAATGCTTTTTGAGGTTCTCGTTGTCATCGCCATAGTGGCATCTTAAACTCCCTAATTACTGGCCATGGTATCCAAGAACATGAGGTCATAGCTAGAGTGTCCATCTAATGAAATATCCCGCCAGGGCCTGGTAAATGGTCCTGAGGGTGACATCTTGAGTTTAAACCTGGTCCGCTGGAACTTTCGTTCTTTAGTCTGCAAAATTGATCATGACTTGGAAAACTGTCAATACGATCAGATATGCCAAACAGTTCACCTACAAACTTGCAAATTTTTCAGTGATAGATAGCAATGAGTCTGTCTTCATATACAGGTCAATTTATGCAAATGCTTGCCTGGTTTGTCAAAGAAAATGTTTACAAATCCCTGTGGTAGATTAAAATATAGGCCATTTCCATTTCCAACAACCCTCACTTTCAAAGCAAACCTAAGTTCAAAACTGTCAGTCTACTGATAATCAATGACCTATAAATGTTTGGAATTTTGCATATAATTATCTTTAAGGTGATGTTACATGGGACAATTTGCCACAACGATTTTTAGCACAACACAGTGTTGCAACATTGTTGCGACATTTGTTTCAAGAATGGTTGCAACACTGTTCCAACATTGCAATGCTGTGTTGCTCAAAAAATCATTGTTGCGAATCATCCCGTGTAACATCACCTTTACATGTATTGTGTCATTCTCTCCTCTTAAGGTACCAGGCCCCGGGAAAATCCGTAAGCCCGGTTCAGTTTGGAGATGAAGACTGGGAACTAGCTTGGGAAGATGATTCTGCCAAAGCAAAGCAAAGGATTAATAATGGACAGTCAAAAAATAATAAAAAGAGGAAAAATAAACAAATTGAAGATAGCAGCAAAGTTGCAAACTCTAAGGATTCTGTATATGAGGTTACCCATGGCAACTGTGAGGGCCATTCAGAGAGGGGTGCAAATGGAGATGTTGCGGAAAGCCAGGAGGGACAATTAGGGAGCAAGGTCTTGAAAAAAGAGGGAGGACAGTCATGGAAATCTAAAAGTACTGATAGTCAAGAAAGTAAAAGTACACAGAAAACCCAAACACCTATTAAACATTCTCCTCAAAAGAAACAGATAACACAGGAGTCTGCTAAATAAACAAACTTGTGGGTGCATCTGCCCTTCTATTTCTAGACCACATGAGGGCAATATGTTGACATT